AGTGTAGGACTCTTGGGCAACCCGGAGGTTGGCCTTGAGATCCTCGAGAACGGTCTGAAGTCGGTCGACACGTTCTTCGGCAGAGGGCACAACAGAAGGATCACGGATGATGGAGGGATCAAAAATGGGGTGATGGCCATGGACTGCAAAGAAGGGAGTCATGCCAGTGGAGGTGTTTTCCGAGTTGTTGTAAGTGAACTCGGCAAGGGGAAGGTGAAGGGTCCAGTCGTCTTGCAGGTAATTGCAATGGATACGCAAATACTGCTCGATGACCTGGTTGAGAACCTCGGTCGAACCGTCGGTCTCGGGGTGGAAGGCAGAAGAAAGGGAAATCTTCGTCTTCAGAAGCTCATTGAAGCGCCTCCAGAAGGCCGAAGTAAACTGAGTTCCTCGGTCCGAAACAATAGACCGGGGACAACCATGCAAGCGGAAGATGTGGGAGAGGAAGAGTTCGGCGGTTTGCTCGCCTGTAACCGTCTTCGTGGTGGGCACAAAGTGTGCTTGTTTGGACAGGCGGTCCTTAACCACGAAGATGGAGTCAAAGCCGTTCGAAGGTGGGAGATCCGTGATGAAGTCCATCGACAGGTCCCACCAACGTTCGGAAGGAACGGGGAGAGGGTGAAGTAAACCATAAGGGGAGTGACGGGACGGCTTGGCTCGCTGGCACGCTTCACAATTAGCAATGAAGCGACGCACAGACTTACGAAGCCGGGGCCAGTGAAAGTCCCGGGAGATGAGCTCAACGGTCTTGGCAAGACCAAAGTGACCAGCGGCAGCGGAGCAGTGACGTTGCTCAAACACTTTGAGCTGGAGCTCGGGGGAAGGGACAACGATCAGGTCTTTAAAGTAAAGGAGACCGTCACGGAAGGAGTAATCGCCATCAAGACGTTTGGCGTTGAAGTCAGAAAGAAGGGAACAAGAAAGGGTGGCAGCTCGAATCTCGGAAAGAAAATCGGGGTTCGAGCCGATAACGGTGATGCTGTCGAGAGAAATAGACTCGAACAGCTGAAGGAAGTTGGTGGAGTGGAGGGAGTCACCAGGCTTTATCTCAAAGTCAGAACGGCGACTGAGAGCATCGGCTTTGGTGTTGAGGCGACCAGGGCGGTGGTAAATGCGAAAAGCAAAATCAGAAAGGAATTGGGCCCACCGGAACTGGCGGCGAGAAAGTTGGGAAGCGGAAGTGAACCGGGTGAGGTTCTGGTGATCAGAGAAAACAAGAGTGGGATGATCGGGGTCGGCAGCCATCAAGTAATGACGCCAGGCAGTAAAGGAATCGACAATAGCAAGGAGCTCTTTGTCGTGGGTGTCATAATTCACCTCGGCGGGACGGAATTGCCGAGAGTGAAAAGCAACGGGGTGAAGAGCGCCGTCAGGGTCAAACTGGGAAAGGACGGCACCCAGAGCAAAGTCAGAAGCATCGGGCTCGATGACAGCGGGTTTGGAGAAATCAAAGTAACGAAGAATAGGTGCGGAAGTGAATGAACGTTTAAGAGAATCAAAAGCCTCTTGGGCCTCGGGAGACCAAGAGAAGGTGGAGGATTTGGTGGTGAGTGAAGTCAAAGGACGAGCAAGTGCGGAAAAGTCCTTGACGAAGCGGCGGTAAAAGTTTGCGAAACCAATAAAAACTTGGATGTCGCGAGCAGAAGAGGGAACAGGCCAAAGGGAAACGGCCTCGACCTTGGCAGGGTCCATTTTAATGCCATCGGCAGAAATGATCATGCCGAGAAAGTCAACTTCAGAAAGGTCAAAAGAACACTTGGCCGGATTGACCTTAAGAGAGTGTTCACGAAGGCGAGAAAGAACAAGCTTAACATGCTCCTCATGCTCCAGGGGATCTTTTGAGAAGATCAGGATGTCGTCAAGATAAATGACAACACAGACACCAAGGAGGTCCGAGAAGATGTCGTTCATAAAAAACTGAAAAGCAGCGGGGGCATTCGAAAGACCAAAGGGGATAACATTGTACTCGTAAGAGCCAGATTTGCAAACAAAAGCAGTCTTCCACTCATCGCCCTTCTTGACACGAACCAAGTGGTAAGCATCAGGAAGGTCAAGGTGTGAGAAGACGCGGGCAGAAGAAAGTTTATCCAGAAGATCCTGGAAGAGGGGAAGAGGGTAGCGGTTCTTCTTCGTGATGGCATTGAGGCCCCGGTAGTCGACGCAAAGGCGAAGACCACCATTGGGCTTCTTCACGAAGAAGCAGGGAGCACCAACGGGAGAAGAGGATTTGGAGATCCAACCACGTGCGAGGGCGTTGGTCAGATACTCCGAAAGAGCAGATTCCTCGGCCGGGGACAAAGGATAGACTTTCCCCGGCTTTGGCAAACGAGGTTCCTTTCCATCCTCGGTCCGTACAAACTCAATAGACAAGTCATACGGACGGTGAGGAGGCAAGGAAGAAGGAGGGTCAGACTTGAGGCTGAAAACGTCGCCAAACTCATTGTATTTGAGCGGGACACCTCGAGAGTCAACAGGGGTGCCAGACTCGGCATACACCTTCGTCGTGAGCACGGACCTTATCGACACCGTAGGATACGTCTCCGGCGAAGGAGGACGGATATCCATTTGGGCAGCGAAAATGTCGAGCTTGTCTTCCCGTGCAAGACGGAGAAGACTCGCCGCATTAACGAGCTCAATGTCGGGCGAAGATAAAGCCGTTGGCTCTTCAGAAAGCGAAGCAGAGTCAAGGCGGGAAGAAAGGGAAGGCGAAGTGCCAAAGGAGGGAACCGGTGTAAGGGAAGGACCGGAGGGAGGAGTCAAAGGCGAAGTGCCCGAAGGGGGAGGCGAATAGCCGGAAGGGGACGAAGTGTCCAAGGAGGAAGCAGAGACATCCGCGAGGATGTGTCCATCAGCAAGGCAAGAGGGATCGGAGAACGAAAGGGAGAGGGACTTCCAATTGACAACTGGATTATGCAAGCGCATCCAGGGAAGACCAAGAGTGATGGGAGTGGTGGAGAGTCGAGTCACAAGAAAAGAAATCGACTCGGTGTGGGAACCAATGGTCAACGTCACAGGAACGGTTTGGAAACGAATGAAACCGGCCGAAGAACCATCAGCAAGGGAAACGGAGTAGGGAGTAGAAAGAGGGATAAGAGAGAGTTTATGGAGATCCGCAAAGGCAGGATCAATGAGGGCAAGAGCGGTGCATCCATCATCAATAAAGACAGAAAGGGAGATGGAGACCGGGCCAGAAAGACTCATGACGACAAGGGTGGCCGGAAGAAGAAGCTTATCGTCCGATAATGACGAGTCAGAGGGGGAAGATGTTCGTATCGCCGAACAGACCACCTCGCTTACTTGCGAGGTGCTGCTCGGCTGTGGGCATTTCCCGAGTTCCGTTTGACCAGAACCGGGCACTGCTGAACATCGCGACTGCCGGGACAAGACTTTTCCCCGCAGTACAGGCAGAGACCCTGCTCACGACGTCGCTTTTTCTCGACGTCGGAGAGCTTAGCAGGGCGGACCGAGACAGAGTCAAGGTCCATGGGAGTGGGTGCAGAAGAGGAGGAAGAAGAAACATGCGCGGGAGAATGGTGGTGATGGGGAGCAGAGCGAGAAGAAGGAGGAGGAGGTTGGGAACGGGAGGAGATCTTGAGACGATGGAGGGCATCGTCGTACTCGACCGCTGCCTTGATCAACTCAGGCAGGGAAGCGGGAGCGGGGCGGAGACCGATGAGGTGGAACTTGACCTCAGACTTCAAACCCTCCTTGAAGAAGTGCATCTTGGTGGGTTCATCAGTCTGGACGCGGGCGGCGAGCTGGACGAAGCGGGTGGCGAAGGCTTGGCAGGACTTGAGCTGGACCAAGCGCTTGAGGTCGTTCAAGGCCTTATCTTGCGAGGAGGCCGTGTCCTCACCGAAGGTCGACTTGAGGGCAACTTCAAAATCCGCGAAGGAAGCCGGGAAGCGGTTGGCCATGTAGAAGGCGGCCTCGTACCACTTGAAGGCTTCACCGCGGAGGAAGGAGGTGGCGTACAGGACCTTCTGGCGCTCGGGCGCGAAGAAGGCAGGATCGGCGAGGAAAACCAGGTGGCACTGGGCGAGGAAGGCCGTCGTTTCATCGCGGGAACCTAGGAACTCCTTGGGCTTGTTGACCTGGTAGACCTGGCGGGGAGCGGCGGCGGGAGCTTGCAGATCTTGGATCTGACGATGGAGAGCAGCGTTCTGGGTCATGAGGGCGTTCATACGCTCCTCCATGCGCGCCAGATACGCGTTGAGGTCTGCAGGGGGTGCAGCAGGCTCAGCCATCGGATCGACGAGGGAAAGAGAGGCGAAAGAAGAAGAAAGGCCGGGAAGCCAAGAGGGAGCGTTCAAAATGATGTTAGAGTCCGAAGGGGACTCAACGGCAAAAGAAGAAGTGAGCTCGAAGTGAGCTCAGGGAAGGCAAGGGTAAAGTCCGAAGTGGACTCGGAGAGGGAGCGAGGGAAGCAAAGATCCGTTCAAGATAAGACTAGTCTCGAAATGAGACGTGAGGAACACTCAGAGAATAAAGTAGAAGGCACTTTATTTAGTCCTATTTTGAACGCTGAGGTTCGACTACACATCGCGGGGGTCAGGCTATTTATAGACAAGTCCGGACTTGGCAGCGAAGGGCGGCCAAGGGAGGGAAAAGTGGGCGATCGAGCAGGGCGAAGGGGGCGATGCACGAACGAGGGCCGAGAAGGACCACCGAGACAGGCAGAGAACCAAAGCGAGGGAGGCGCAAGCAAAAGCGAAGCACCTGGCAGGAGAAACGTGCAAAGGCGAAGCAATGTGACTCAACGTCCAAGAAGCGGATTGGTCAAGTATAAGGTTGGGGCAAATGCATGCGAGATGAACAAGAGATCGGGGCGGTCAGGCAGGTCATGAGTCACCGGTGGTGGGACACATGACCGGCAGCCGAATTGCAACCAATCGCAGCAAGGCGCGTGCACAAACAAACCGGCGCGTGCGAAGAAGACAAAGGAAGCGGAGCAGCGCGGGGAAACGGAAGTGCGGAAGGAGCGGAAATGGCAGGCAAAAGGCGGAAAATTGGAGGGGAACTGCAAAGCTACACACAAACAAACAGAAAGGCAAAAGAACAGCCAAGTGTGCAGTCAAAGTGGAGAACAAGCAGAAGCTATCCCTAACAGCAATGTACGGGGCGAGGACGGGATGGTACTTCGAGAAACCATTTCTAGTTTCGAAGAACGGAGTGGGAATAAACACTGTCGAATGATCACGATATAAGTCAAATTTGTGGGTTTGGACAAATTCGAAGACGATTCTGTCACAATAACCATAGATACCACCACTCCAATGAGAAGTGGATTTGAAATCGACATAGAGTGCGAGCAACTCTGGATTCTGAAGAACAATGTCCTTGACGGTCAACATCGGTTCAGTGTTGCGGCGTCTCTGTTCATTCGACTCGGTGATGGCTTGACGAAGGAAGGTCGTGTCGATATCTGAAAACACAGTGTCAACATTGACATCCTTGAAGTGACACACTATCTTACAACGGGCTGGATTTTGATACAAATATGTTAGGATATCGTGAAGCGTTACTCACGGACAACATGTAGGTGCGCCGTGCACGGAGCAATCTCGACTTACATCGTGTGTACTTGTCATTGTCGCCTTCGTGGCGCTTCTTGGAAGCGGACACATCGTTCATATCGCGAACATGCTTTCGAGGCTGGTCACGACCATCTTCATCGGCTTCAACTGGGGCCGGGCGCTTGGGCGCAGGACGAGCGGACATGTCGCGACGGTCATCTTCAGTGGGCGTGGGGGAAGCATAGCCACTTGCAGCAGCGTTGGCTGCTGGGGCCCGAACGCCTTGGGCCGATGGAGGGGCGGCGGGTTCGGCAACGACAGAAGGTACTGGAGCCGCACCACTGTCGGTGAAGTCGGGATCGCGAGCTCCAGCAGCCCCGAAGGTAGGAGCGGTGGGTTGATCGGGCTGAACCGTCGTAGCGGGTTCGGCAACGGTAGGGAACGCGGCTAAGATATCGTCCAAGTGGAGGGAGTCGACGGAGATTGGGTCACTGGAATCGGTAGCTCCAAAGTCAGGAGCATGAGGGGCGGCATGCGCGAAGGCATGAGCCGAGGGAGCAGGCGGATTCCTGGGAGCAGGATCGGGGCCAGGGGGAGGACAACCGGGGGCGACCGAAGAAGTCGTCTTCTCATCGGCGATTGGACGCATGGCCAGCTTGCGGATACAGGTGCTGGTCTCGATGATCTCGTGGTTAATAACCTGAATGAACTCCGGGCTCGCGAAGGAGGGATTGGCGATGGTATCATTCCTGACTTGCGATAGTTGGCTGAAATGTCCTTGGAGGACCACCATGCCATTTTCATCACTGGGCTTCTTGGGGATACGCTCGAGGCCGAATCCATCGGGCACGAAGCGAGCCATCTTCGTATATACGCCGTCTTTACCGAGATTGTAGAATCCCAGCTTCTGATGACTAGGTGCGGGAACGGGCTTATCTTTGTGCTTGTAGAAGACCCGCTGGAAGAGTGCGATGTCGGGCGACGGGACGTAGCGGAAACTGCCGTAGGGTGGTATTTCCCTGCGTTGGTGGGTCTCGAGGTCGAATTTGGAGAGAAGTTTGATGGCGTCAGCACGGTAGCTGCAGTCTGCATTCAGGGTTGCAGCTTTGAGTTCGAACAGGAACTCGTCGATTTTGTCAGCAGCCCGACAGTAGACGCTGACATCTTTCGGGTTTCTCAATCCATATTCTTGGAAAGACTCGCCGAAAAGATCGCGGCATTTGTAACGACCTCCGCGAATGAGTTCGAGCTCGAGGAACCAAAGATCGGTAGTATTGTTGGGCGCCTTGATGTTGGTGCGAATGTAGCACCCCTTGGGCTTGGCGGGATCGGCAGAAGGCGGCATGGTAGAGCAGCTGTGGGAACGACTAGGCGTTACAACGAATCCGAGTGGCCGCCTGTTGCTGCTGCTGCTGGGCACTACTGGGGACTGGACTTACCTGGAGGCGAATGAATGCGCTGGGACGAGTAGGCGGGCGATGCTGCTGTCCTCGGGAAGCCAGCGGCGGCTTTTATGGGGGTGCGAGGGCGTGGGATGGGAGACATGACAGATCGGATTGCAGCGGCAATCCGGGCGGCGTTTCGCTGGCGACAGCGGTTTGGCATCCAGCCTGGCCAGCTGACCACGCATCGAAGGGTTCAGCGCGATGTGGCGCAGGGAGTCCAGCCCAGCGATCGCACCACGGTCGCCGGCGGGCGGAGGAAACACCATGTCCGGCCGGACCCCTCGGTCAGGTGATCGCGTCGACCTCCCAGCCCAATGCACCAAGTCCTCATTTCGCACTTGGACTTGATCAAGTCGAGGCAAACGCAAATGTATTTTTCAGTTGGAGCGAGTGAGCGAGTTGATCAGTGCTTGGGAGCGTTGGTAGTCCACTGGCACACCAAAACCATGGAAATAGCATTGAGCTAGTCGCTCGGTTGCTTTGCGGCAGCCCTGCATCGACGACCGTTGGAACCAAGTGACTGCCTGCACCGGATCGGCAGACACACCATGTCCGTGAGCCAAGAAATCTCCGATGATGAGCTGCGAGCCTGCATGACCGAGCTTTGCGGCCGACATGAACACCTCTGCTGCTTTCACCAAGTCCTTTTCAACGCCAACTCCATCGATATAGCATCCTCCCAAGTTATAGAGTGCATCGAGATTCCAGCAGTGGGATGCCAGATTGAACCATTCAAAGGCCTTGGGGAGATCTTGCAACACAATCTCGCCTTCCAAAAACACATTGCCCAGGCAGCACATTGCCGGGGCATACCCGCGATCTGCGGCGGATTTTATCCAGAAGAAGCACTCGCCGTTCGACTGGGGAGTACCTCTGCCCTCGCGAGTCAGGATGGCGAGGCCGAGTTGTGCCTCGGCGTTGTCGTTGAGGGCGATGATTCGGACCATGTCAGTACCTTGCTTTGCTTGCACAGGGCAACCCAGTCCCTCCAGGTAGCAGCGAGCCAGGAGGAGCTGACCCGGCCAATGGCGGCGAGCAGCGATCTTGGCCCACTGGAAGAGGAGCTTGAAGATGGGCTCGGTTTGGCTGCCTGGTGCCGGGGGATTGCAGATGAACGGCGTTGCCTTGAAGGAGATGCTGCCGTATCCGGAAACGTCGCAGAGATCGACTAACACCTGGCTCGCATATCGAAGGTTGTGGTATACGTATGGTGCCCTGCTGACCGACATCCAGAGATTGAAGGCCCGGGTGTAGTCGATAGCCGTGCCGATACCCAGCCAGTTCATCCAGGCCAGATGGAAGCGGGCATTTGGATCCAGATCGCTCTTGGAACACATGAATGCAAAGGCATCGATCCAGGCCTGGTGGTTGCTGGGAACAATGTCGATCAGCACATCGGTGGCACCGACGACTTGATTATAATTGGGGCTGATCAGCATCTCGAAGAGCTCGTCGAGCGATTCGACGTCAGGCTCGGAATCGGTCTTCACGGCGGGTTTCTCTACGAGCATGGCGATGGATGGAGAACGATGAAGGAGAAAGATCACAACGCCCCACTCACGGACATGAAGAGCCCACAAATATGTCCGAGGGATGAAATCACATGTTCATTCTTTATTGGATGCACTGCATGTAACGCTGGTACACAGGCCAAATGATGCGGCCATTCCCATGAGCTTCTATAGACGTCCTGAGCAGCCCTGTCAAAGCGTCCCGCACCTGGGGGTCATTCCCAGCTGCGACAATCGCATCCAGCGGGATATCGGCACCCCAGCTTTGAGCACGATCCCAGGCATGGAATGAGAACTGGCGTCTCGAGAGAATGAACACGCGCGCCATATGGCTGCCCTGGAGGTACGCTTTGATGACAGCCAGGTGGTAGATGGAGGTGATTGTGGAATTGCGAGGAACACCAAGTGCGAGCTTCTTGCAGTTGGCCAACAAAAATTCCCTGTCTGCCTCGGGTTCTATCGTTAGCACCCAATTCACAACAGAGACAGCACCTGGGACATTTTCAATCGATCCAGAGTTCAAGATGTCAAAGAGTCTTCCAATGCTGAGGGTGTGGCGTTGCATTGCGCATTCTGCGAGCAGATTCAGCGCTCTGGTTATATCGACCCCAGTGCCATAGCCATAGCGGTAGCATTCGTAGAGCTTGTACCGGGCATCTACATGAGTAGACTCCATGGTCTTGAGCCACTCACAGAGCTGGACGCGGACTTTGGGATATCTGGACTGCATCAGTCTCGTCCCATTGTCGATGATGAACTTTATGAGCGACTCGGAGTCGGTTCGCTTGCATTCGTCGAGCAGGATGGTGAGACTTTGAGACTGCAGCGACACGTTCAGCCGGCGGTGGATCAGTATCCACCTGGCCGTTGGGACGTGCTTGGCTTCAACGCAAGTTTGGCATTTCGAAACCCATTGGTCATCGTGCATTCCCCTGCAGCTGACGAGTCGGACAAACTCTGCCGAAACCACAGCGTTCGGGATCGACTTGATCCATTTGAGGGTGTAGGGACGCCATTCAGTGGGGAAGTACTGGGTCAGCGCAGCGCAATCGTTCGGGAGGAGCTCGGTGTCGTACTTGGCGTTGAACCATGCGGCCCATATGCGGATGCCGACCGACTTTGTCGAGAGGACGGATCGCATGTCACTGGAGGTGGCTCGGAGCTTCACGAGGCTTGAAGGAGGGAGCTTGTCGAGCAGCTCTGGGATCTGGAAGATGGTTTGGACGGCAAAAGGTGTGGCCTCGACCCCGGCATTGGCGAGCTCTTTGTGTATGCATCTGCGCTTGGCAGCGCGGGTGCTCATCGAGCGGGTGATGCGCTTGGTACTGGAGGAGGACATGATGCAGGTAGCCTCGAACACACCCACCTCACAACGGCGTCTCTTATACCCCATGCTCTATGCGAAACGTGTGAGGAGATGGACAGTGTGTGCTTTATTGGCTCGGACAGGATCCTTTGCATGACACAGGGTTCAGTTGTCGACTCCGTCCGACTCGGGCTTGCTGGTCCCGCGGGCGCGACGGCGTGAACGTCCCCAGTGCTTGATCAGGTTCCTGGTCGGATACTTGACACCGGCCTTGGCGGCTCGATCGTAGGAGGGGCGTTGACGGACGGGGGGCTGCTTGCAGGGGCGACCTGGCTTGCGCTTGGCCAACGGGGATGGCTTCATGATGGCAGCAGGAGGCTCTGGACGATCGCTCTCTCCAGAGTCTGAGAAGATCTCGCTGAAACTGATGGATCTGAGGACGTCGGCGGTGCTTGGCTCCATGGCGGCGGTGGTAGAGATGGCGACAAACGGATTTCACCCAGTCCTTCTTGTATGGCGCTGCCATCATCGGAGTCGGAACTTTGCAAGGCGAAAGACGGGGGCATTCCCATGACAGGATCCTCCTCGGGAATGGAGAGCGGTGGGAGGCATCAGCTGCGTGGATGTCCCTCATGGCCACTATCTCCGCCGAGCTCCGATGTTCAAAAGGCGAGCGAAGTCGTCGATGCCGATCGGTCTGCATCTCACCTCTCGAACGATGACCCGCGACGCTCGCCCCAGCACGATTGTCGACGCCGATGGCACGCTCCTCCTGAACTTCACCCACCTGGTCGATCGCCCTCGCCTTGGGCTGACGATGCTTCAAGGCCGCAAGCACCGCTCCGTGTCAGCCCTCGTCCCTGGTGAAGACACCCGACGCAAGATCAACTCGATGATCCGAGTGGGCGTTCGCAAGGCCCGGGAAGAAGCCCTCGCCCCGGCGGTCAAGCGACTCCTCGAAAGCGGTGGCGACATCTGGCTGCGCCGAGCCATGGTGCGGCCGCCGCGCGTCCAAGTCGGTGACCTCTTTGTCTCGCTGGAGGAAGCTCGGACGCTCTTTGCCATTCACATCGTCGTGTTTGGTGCCGCTGTCCCGGCCCTCGAGCAAAGCGTCGTCCGATTCATGAGCAGCCTCCCGCATGACATGAGCCATGGCAACGAAGAAAAGGTTTTGTCCGGACGTAGACCAGGACAGCGGCCCAGACACCAAATGGCGACCCCCAGCACACGCCTCGCTGGACCAGCCAAGCGCACGCGCACAGCCCTCGCCCATCTTCGCCAGCAGGTCCAGTGCATCGACGGGCAGCTGGAATTGCTTCATGCCCAGCGCTCCGACCTCTGTGCTCAGATCGAGCAGCTCTGCGAGTAGGAACAGATCAATACATCGTTTTTTTCTGCCGTATCCACAAAGCCATGTCCACCACGATTGTCTTGATTGTGATCATTGTTTCGATGCTGTCTCTCTCTGTGGGTACAGGTGTGGGTCTGTATTTGTACATGAAGCAGACGTCAACCACACCAACAGCAGCGGCATCGAGCGCCAGTCCAGCGTCGTTGTCGCCAGCGAGCGCAACGAGCAGCCCGTCAACGCCAAGTCCAGCAACGACCAGCCCGCCAGCACAAAGTCCGCCAACAACGACGGCAACGACGGCAGCGACGACCGGCTCGCCAACGCAGAGTCCAGCAGTGACGACATCTCTCACAGCACCACCGCCTCTGTCGCTGACCTCTGTATCGACTCCATCTCCAGCACCCGCTCCTTCTCCAGCACCAACACCAGCACCAGCACCAACACCAACACCAGCACCAACACCTACTCCTGCACCCGCTCCAGCTCCTGCTCCGGCTCCTGTTCCGGCTCCGGCTCCTGTAGTGGTCGTCCAGCCTGTTGTCCAGCCCGTGTTTGGAGCAAATGCATATACCATAATGCGAACGAGTGACAATACATCGAGAGGATTAGCCGTTGTCGGTGGTAGTGCCGCTGCAGGAACACCGGTCGTGTATTGGGACTTCAGTTCACAGGCAGGTGCTCTGATGGGCTACGATGCCATGAACAAGCGTATCATCGACCAGAACAGCATGATGTGCCTTGGACCAAAGAGTGGAGCCAGCGCTGCCAACGGCGACCCAATCGTCATAAAGCCATGCGATATCACAGACCAGTCGCAGACATGGGTCGCTGGCGCAAACGGACAAGGCAACTATACCTGGGGCGTGAACCAGAACAAGTGTCTCGATCTGGCGGGAAACTCCAGAAACAACGGTACGCAGGTGGACTTGTCAGACTGCGTTTCGGGTCTCTCTGGGCAGAGCTTCCAGTTTGGCACTGCCGCGGCGACACCCCCGGCTCCAGCAAGCGCATTCACACAGGTTGCCCAGGCACTTTCCATTTCGCCCCCAGCATCGACACCTGCTCCAGCACCTACCTCTGTGCCGGCTGCCACCCAGGTAACATCCTGGTGTGCATTGATGAAGAGCAACAACACCGTGGTCGCTGCGTTGGTCCAGAAAGATCCGTCGACGTGGTCATCCGCGGACCGACTCACAGCACTCCCACTCATCGTCAAATACAGCGGTTTGAGCAATACCGACGTACAGTCCTTCAGCAACTCACTCCTCTGGGCCATACTCTCCATGGCGTGTGGTGTTGTTGGTACGCCTGGGGCAACACCGAGCGACGTTAGTACATGGAGCGACGGAAACCGCAACGCCGTCATTTCGGCGATCTATGCTGCTTTGGGCAGCAAAGATTCGATTGCGAGTGTGGGATGGCTCCAGAGCCTGAACAACTCACAGCTCGGGCATCTCTGGTACGGCCCTCAGATCGCCCCAAGTGCGGCATTGGCTCAGTGCACTTCGGCCAACGTACCTATGATCCGAGCGTATGGAAATGCCGATGGCTCGGCGCTGAAGCCTGGCACGATCTTACCCCAGTGCACGGCAATGCTGTCTCCAACCGGTAGTCACTCGTTGGTTATGCAGGCCGACGGAAACCTGGTTTTATACAATAACACATCCGGGCAAGCGATCTGGTCATCCGGAACGAACGGAAAGGGAAGCCCACCTTTCTTTGCCAACTACCAGCCAGATTACAACTTTGTGGTATACGACGGAACTGGAAAGCCACTCTGGGCCTCTGGCACGAACGGTCAGCCCTCTGATCGGCTAGTGATGCAGGACGACGGGAATCTCGTCACCTACCTGGGTACAACACCGATCTGGTCGACGGGGACCTATGGCAAGTGAGCCAAGGCCTTTCGCCAGCGCGCTGGACTTTGCACCTCCTGCCCGTCGTGGGAAGGGCTGTTGGCTAGAGCGCCAGGCTGTGGAACAGCACCGCTGCGATCCACGCAAGCAGCAACAATGTTATGATGGCGACCTTGCCACCCTGAATCCCGACACTGCTCCCCGATTGTCCGGATGCCCCCGTCGCCAACTGAGCAAGACGTTTGGATGTGTCGGCCAACGCAGTGACAATGAAGAGAGTTGCGCCACCGAGAAGGAGCAAGGTTCCCGACCTGCGGCACGGTGGGGGAATTTGGCTTGTTGTGGTCGGATGGACATTGTCCGCTGCGGGTGTCTCGTCGACGGAGTAATCATCGAGTGGTTCATCGCTCTCGTCGTCATCTAACCACTCGTCGCTGCCCGCTTCGTCGTCGAAATCGCCGCTGCCCACGTTGCTATCCGCTTCAAAGTCATCGTCCATCTGGCCGTCGTCCGGTTGGTCAGAGGCAAAAAACTCGCCGCTTGAATCCGCGGTGTCGGGTAGATTCCATCCTTTTGTATCTGTTGCTTTGCCAGGCTCGGTTGGAAAGGGGGAGAATGAAGGAACAGACTGCATTAGCGCAGCCCTTGTGCTTGTCTGTCTGCTGATTGGGCGGAGCCGGTGCCGTTGTTTCTGAATGCGTTGTTGCAGAGACAGTGGTTCCTTGTTGCCATCAGCCAAAGGCTGTGTAATCGTGGGATGCTTGCCAGGCAGTCGCTTGGAGCTTGCACCAGCGTGTCCAGAACGTGCCTCAGTCGGTCTTGGCCGCAGCATCCGGAGCATCCGTTTACGCGTCGTCCCCCATCGCTGTTCCGCCGAGCCGGCGGTGACCGTGTCACGGGCGTTCATTGGTGTATGGCGGCGGCTCGGTCGGGCTGTTCCATGTCTGTCTTTGTGCTTACGCGAGGGGTGCAACCTGGCCATCGTTGGCAGTGTAGCATATGGGTGTTTTTTGAGCCGGACAGGTCGGTGGGCCGGGTCCAATTTACTACTCGCCGACCCCCGGCGGCGAGAATGGCGCCGTTGCAGGGGGGCAGGACTGGCGGACAGAGGTCGAGGAGGAGCAGGGGGAGGCGGCGGGTGAGGTATCGATGACATCGGTCTTTCGGTCTTTGCAGTTCGCCGCTAAAATATTTCGGATGCGCACGGCCGTATAAATCCAGGCCACCCGCCCCTCGACCGGTCGTCCCCATCGTCGCCTCGCCTGCCCCGTCGCTCCCGACCTCGCTTCGAGCCAACGACCAGCAACCCGCTTTCGCAACCCCCTACCCAGCGACTCCTCGCTCTTCCAAACCTTTACCCGTTCTTCTCCTCCGTCAGAATGGCCCCTTCCACCCGCTCCGGTCATGGCAGCGGAAATACCACCGCAGATTATCCAAATGTTCCCTCCTCGGTGCACCCCAGTCCCCAAGCAGCTCGAGAGGTAAGTGTTGTCACCCGCTCTTGTTCACCCGTTTGAGCAGCTCCTGGCAGCGCCTGCTTGCGAGTGACGGTCTAGCGTTCTAACGACATCCTCCGATGGTCACAGGGAGCTACACCCCCCAAGCGACAGTTGTCTCTAACAGCTACCAATTCCGCCAATAAGCGCCCAAAGGTAAGTCAGCGTCACCCCCTTTCGCCGATCTCGCTGCTGTCCCGAGGGGTTGTTCGGCAGTGTATTAGACGCCACCGATACATAGACCACGGACGCCTCCTTCTGACACTCTGTTCCATGCCTATCCTCCGCCGTTTATCACTACCTCGGTGCCGACACTGAACAGAACGACAAGCCGACCGCAGCCCCTGCTTCCGAGCCTCCTCAGGTAAGCTTTCGCCGTTTGCTCCGTGTCTGTGACACACTCCCAGCGCTACCCCGAGCCCTGACCGTTCTTCCGTCGTTAACACTCGCGACGCTGCCTCCCAAACCATTCCCGAACAGGCCACCACCCCTCCTGCCAAGGTAAGCCTCCAACACACACACACACACACACACACATGTTCCATCATGGCAGGAGTTGTTGTCACTCGGCATGGTGTTTGATGTTCATTGCTAGTGGGTGGTGACAACTCCTGATCCACTGTCGAGAACACTGTATCGTTATCAGTGTTCTTGATGGATCTGATGTTCCAAGGAATCGTTACGATTCAGTGTCTTTGTCGCCCGGGTCCTGGGGTCAAATCTGTTTTCGGAGCGGTGCCGGACCCTTTGATACCGATATCGCCGCCACAGTCCACCATCGGCCGCTGTGGTCGTGTGGATGGGCACGCGGTTGCTGACTTATCCGCTGCCACCAGCCCCCGCCACCACCCGCCTGTCCGCCGGGATGAGATAGCCGGTCACATCCTAACCCGTGCCGGCCGTTTCCTGCGCCGCTCGGCATTCCGCCTTTTTTTCGCCGTTTGTGAGATTCAGGATGCTGGTAGAGAAGGTGGAGACAAGGGTACTTCCAGCAAAGCTGCCTCGGACCAGGTGAGAAGGAAGTGGGTGGTGCTCCGTTGCAAGTACTTGAGCCTCCAGCCGCTTGGATCGTGGGGTGGATGCTAATCTGGCTTCTATTGGACTCCTGGACGTGGACAGGGAGAGACCAACCTTCCGACTCCCTCACCAGAGCCCCATGAGGTATGTGCTCGTTAGGACGGTACTATGTACTCTCGCGTATGCTGTCGATGTACCCCACCCACCCCGCTTGGCGTTTAGCTTTGGCTCTAACAGCGCCTTTGGTTTGTCGGTAGGGTCGGAAGGACGGCGGTGGTCAAGGCGGTACCGCCGCCACCATAGCGAGCCTAGATGTAAGCTGTTCGATGAGGAGCTGGTGGTTGTTGGTCGTGTCGCTCGATCATCGCTCTGTCGGTGCTCACTCCCGCTATAATATCGTCCATCGCTGACGCCCTCTTGGTTATCCATCTCTATAGGACCAGCCTCTCAGCGGCGAAACCAACGCCCAAGCGGTAAGCAGATCTCTCGCTTGTAGCCATCTTATATGCTGTCGGGTACCACGTCCCGTATAAACCCGTTTTACTGGGGCTTTTCTCGTTTCCCCCACAGCCGGTCGCTTCGGCGTCCGGTAGCTGCTTTGCGGGATGCGGCTGGGTGGGCAACGAGATTCCGTTTGCTTGTGTTAGCCAAACCGTGGCCATATTGTGGCCGGCACTGGTATCCGTGCGCAGCAGACACATGATCCGCCGCTTTGTGCGACACCCGTGACTAACAACGTGCTCACTGTGGCTATAGGACTCCGGTGCCAGCAACGACAGTAACTGTTCTGACGATGGTGAAGTTAGCCACTCTGAATCCGGTTCAGAGGTATGTGGTTGGTCGAGAATGATGGCAGACTCGGCTGGCGTTACACCGTGTGGATGTGGTAGTTGCTAACGCTGCTGCTTCCGTCAGTTGCAACAGGAACGTGTTGTGAATGGGAATAATTTAATTGCCCAGGTAATTAGCACACAGAAAGAATATTTCGGTGTAAACTCACTTACGGCCTTGGTGAGCTATCGAGACGGGGCTTCGGTTGCACTGTCAGCACACCACATACCAGCGCTGATGTTGTTTTATCCATGTGTGGATTGTAGGATCGTGATCCGGCTGATCCTTCTATTCCCGCCGGGAATGCCATTAATGCGACCGACCCTTCAGCTACGACCGCTTCTGCCAATCAACTCCTTGGTTCAAGCACGACCGAATATATAAATCTTGACGAGGTTCGCTGCCTTTGACATTACTGTACATGTCGTACCTGAAATCCGTGTTGACAATTGTGTGATATTTCTTTTTAACATACATCCATGTAAAATTCAACGGTATCCTGTATTAGAATCCTTCTACGGGAGAGCTCCATCAAGATCGGGACAATGCCAACACAGGTGTACAAAGTCCTCCATGGATCAGTAAATTCGGATATGTTCGTCCTATAAATCCAACAGGCCGCACTGCGACCATCATCCTCCAACCCCAAGCAAACACCCAGTCTGCCGCGGCTGAACGTAGAGAACCAGACCATTCGAGTGAGTATAGGTTTTGTATTACATTCTCGATTTGCTGATTACTAATATTCTTACAATCCAATTTTTAGTAACCAAACTGTTCAAAGATGCTGCACCGTGTGTTCTCGAGGGTTATTCAGTTCCGAGGTTACTCTTCCCTTCGAGCGATTATCTTTCCAAGGTTTCGGCAGAAATTCATTTCGAACAAAAAGACCAACGTACGATCAATGATTTTATAGAATCATTGATTACCATCCCCAATCAAGGCAATACCGGAATCACAGCTGCAGCCGTACTTCAGAAAATCCAACGCCTCCAAGCGTCGAGTTTGAAGTTATATGTGCAAAAACCCAGTCAGATTATGTGCGACTTCACCAGTATTGGACTCGAGAATCCACACACTTTGTATCAAGATATGAAGAACCACTTGATTAACCCTGAGACCTACCAGGTCTCAGTTGCTCAAATTCTTATTTACGAGGGGGTTATTGCACCTTCCATGTGTGTTGCAAAGGAAACTACTATCCCATGCGTGTCACTCGCGACTGCCGGGTATTGTTCCAATACCCCAACACTTCAAGAGGCTGAATGCCGGCTCAAACAATTCATCAGCACAATCGCCTCTGTTGCCGAAGTCGACTCGATGAAGAAATCTCAAAGGACCGAGCTCCGGCGATTGGTTTGGTTTCTTCGATTCAAATTGTTCATGATCCAATACCGAAACGAAGCATTCCGTCCAGACTCTGAAGCTGCCACTCGATCATTTGAGAATACATATGAACTCATCAAATGCGATGCACCGGCATTGAAAGATAGTATCAGTAAGTTAATGTTTGTGTCTTCATATTCTGGCAGGTGATGGATGGCACAAAATTAATTGTTTTATGAATTGTTATTGGAATGTAGTCCCCAAAGAATGTATTCAGTCGGCCAAATTGATCATCCAGTTGATGCAATGTGAAAAATCCGCAATGTGGTTCGACACAACGTCATATTCGCCCCTTAGCGACAAATCCAAGTATCGCAAGTACATCGATCATACCGTTGGTAAAATTATCCAACTACATAAGGCATCCAAATTTCCACTCGCTACGTTTTTGGATATGGCCAGTCCTTTCGGATGGAATTGTCCAGAGGCACAGTACGTCTTTGGACTATGGATGGAATCTATTTTTCATTTCCGAGCCGCTGGATACTTCTTCAGCCATGGATATGCCGCCGATGGGGAACGTGGCGTTTATGGGATCAGGGACGTTGGTTGGATTTGTCATTTGATTCAACGAAGGAAGGCCCTTGCCCGCACCTACGGATTCAAGATGTCCGTAGAATCTAGCAAAGCCCGATTCAACGAAACACATCAGTTTGTTTCCGAGGAAACTCGACAAATTATCAAATGCCTCCGAGCTGCTCAAGCCGTCGGAAATTCTTTGACAATTCTGAGTGAAGCCAGGGAAACTCAGCTTAAAGAGATAGAAGTCGAAAAGCGCCCACCACGTGAGATACACGACTCTAGCTACGACATGTACGACATCGCTAATCAAAACGCATTTAGTGAAGTGTCTGTCGCCTATAATTCATGATAACACATTCTGGTTTCCGATAGAATCTATGCATCACTCGACCCCTCAGTATTGGAGAGCTTGATCAAGTGTACGGAATTTATTCCCAAGATTATCGTCAAAGAGCGCCTTGCAAAAATCGAAAAAATGAAAGTCAGGCTTCAGATGGAAATTGAAAATTTTATTGAAAATTTTGAAGGACTTGCCAATGCCCGGCGCTTAGGTTTCAAAATTGCAGCGAAATGCAAGCTCTTTTCTCGCATTCAAACTTTGCAGGGGAAGATAAACAGACGAGCCCGAAAGGATAGCGCAGAAGTGGATCGAAAGACATTGACATTGAAAAGGGTGCTTGATGATCAACGTAACCGAATTGAAAGTGAAACCAATAAATAAGGGCATACCCTTGAATTTTGACCATTGAACAGTTATTTTGTTACCAAATATCATTGTGCGTTGGACATAACCATTCACCACACGCAACCAACTTTTGCATTGTTGCCTTGCGATGCTACACCCTCATCCAGAGTCCGCGCAAGATAATCTCGACCAACGAGTAACAATTTCAACCACACGGAAGTTTGCTTCAAGAGTGTGGAGCCAGTTCGGTTGGAAGGACTCGATGCGCCCAGTGCTGCGAATTCCCACTTTGTCAGGAGCTGCAAGAATCCCAGCTGCCGGACAGTGTGGAATCGCGACGTCAATGCGGCGCGCAACATGAATACCAAGAGCTCTTGTCTCAGGCGAGAGAGTTGATAGTGCCAAGTAACCACAAAACTCGAGACTGATCCCGGTTAGACGAGTTTGGTATCGCCTGGAAGGTGGTCGGTGGGTCAGGTCACGTGATAAGGAGGGGTCATCATCGAAAGACCGCCCTTTTCTTCCGTTCAAAAAATGTCCGGATGGTTAAGGCGCTCACGGTTCGCTCCTCTGCTCTCACACAGCGGGGGTTCGATTCCCGAAAGCCCCCGCCATCCAATATGAGATGATTCCGAGAGGCTGTCCGCTTACAGGACACGTCTTCAGAGCTCGCTCCTGCGTCCCGAAAGGACCGGTATAGCGATCTAGGGACCCATGCGTGCATGGCTTCTCCGAATCACCAGGCGTTGGGGAGATCTCGACATTTTTTTTTCAATTGTGCATGTGAATATATTACAGCCAATCTACAGTCAAACCAGAAAGAAACGGGACACCCAGGTTTTGACCATTGATCGAATATTTTGTTACCCAAAACCATCGCGCGCTGACCATGACCATTCGCCACACATCCGACTTTCGCACCGCCGCATTGCGATGCTACGCCCTCATCCATAGCCTGCGTAAGGTCGCCTCCATATTCAGTGTATCCAAGAGCACCATCCATCGATGGCACCGAGGATGCAAGCTGGATGACCCATCCCGGGTCCCAGCTCGCAGATCCACTTTCTTCGAGCAGGCATGTCCAGTCATTCGCACCCTGATTGAACAGGACCCGTTCCAGACTGGTCCTGTGTTGCGATGCAAGCTCGAGTCCATCCTCCAGAGGAAAGTATCACTCTCACTCTGCCACACTGCCATCCACCGAGCAGGTCTGTCTCACAAGAGGGCAACACACCTCTACAAGTCCAAGCGACTGGATGAGCGAGTGGCACAGTTCAGGGACCAGGTCCGCTCCATCGACCCACGACGATTCGTTTTTGTCGATGAGACAGGGATCAGGAGATCCATTTTCCCTCTTTACGGGTACTCATCGAAGGGTGCTCCGCTTCGCCAGCGCAATCACATGAAACACAAGTCTGTCTCGGCTGCATTTGCCATCAACCACTCTGGTGTGCTGCATCGCATGTACATCCCCACATCATTCAAGACACACTCGATGGTCGAGTTCTTTGAGCGAGCGGCCTTCCCAGATGGCTCTGTGATTGTGATGGACAATGTCAGCATGCACAAGACAATGGCTGTCCTGGACTGCATCGATCGCCGAGGATGGTCAGTGATCTTCACCCCACCTGCCTCGCCCGACTTCAATCCCATCGAGAACTTCTTTGGGATTGTGAAGCATCAGTACAGGAAGGCAGCAGCGCTGAATGCGTCTGAGTGTTAGAGTCCAAAGGGGACTCAACGGCAAAAGAAGAAGTGAGCTCGAAGTGAGCTCAGGGAAAGCAAGGGTAGAGTCCGAAGTGGACTCGGAGAGGGAGCGAGGGAAGCAAAGATCCGTTCAAGATAAGACTTGTCTCGAAATGAGACGTGAGGAACACTCAGAGAATAAAGTAGAAGGCACTTTATTTAGTCCTATTTTGAACGCTAAGGTTCGACTACACATCGCGGGGGTCAGGCTATTTATAGACAAGTCCGGACTTGGCAGCGAAGGGCGGCCAAGGGAGGGAAAAGTGGGCGATCGAGCAGGGCGAAGGGGGCGATGCACGAACGAGGGCCGAGAAGGACCACCGAGACAGGCAGAGAACCAAAGCGAGAGAGGCGCAAGCAAAAGCGAAGCACCTGGCAGGAGAAACGTGCAAAGGCGAAGCAATGTGACTCAACGTCCAAGAAGCGGATTGGTCAAGTATAAGGTTGGGGCAAATGCATGCGAGATGAACAAGAGATCGGGGCGGTCAGGCAGGTCATGAGTCACCGGTGGGGGGACACATGACCGGCAGCCGAATTGCAACCAATCGCAGCAAGGCGCGTGCACAAACAAACCGGCGCGTGCGAAGAAGACAAAGGAAGCGGAGCAGCGCGGGAAAACGGAAGTGCGGAAGGAGCGGAAAAGACAGGCAAAAGGCGGAAAATCGGAGGGGAACTGCAAGGCTACACACAAACAAACAGAAAGGCAAAAGAATAGCCAAGTGTGCAGTCAAAGTGGAGAACAAGCAGGAGCTATCCCTAACATCATCCCCTTCCTTAGCGACGAACTCCGGACGTCGCCTTCGGCTTTGAGGGATAGCGAAGGTGGAAGTCAGCAACAAGATCAGTGGCGTGGGAAACATTGGCAGCGGGCTCCCAAGACCGGTCAGTCTCGGAATAGCCCTTCCACTGAACCAAGTACTGTAAGCGACCACGGAAGAGCCGAGAATCGAGAACAGTCTCGACCTCAAACTCTTCCTGGGAGTTAACAAGAATGGGAGGTGGTTCTGGTTGGGTGAACTCGGGAACAATGTCCTTCGTTCGGGGTTCAAGGAGGGATACATGGAAAACGGGGTGAACTTTAAGTGTGGAAGGGAGTTTAAGCTCAAAGGCAACGGGGTTGATGCGGCGAAGAACTTTAAAGGGGCCAAGCTTTTTCTGGTCAAGCTTGTTGGAGGGACGAAGGGTGCGAATGTGGCGACGATCCAGGAAAACGAGGTCGCCAACGGAGATGTCGGGAGTGGGGAGACGGGATTTGTTGGCCTGCACAGTGTAGGACTCTTGGGCAACCCGGAGGTTGGCCTTGAGATCCTCGAGAACGGTCTGAAGTCGGTCGACACGTTCTTCGGCAGAGGGCACAACAGAGGGATCACGAATGATAGAGGGATCGAAAATGGGGTGATGGCCATGGACTGCAAAGAAGGGAGTCATGCCAGTGGAGGTGTTTTCCGAGTTGTTGTAAGTGAACTCGGCAAGGGGAAGGTGAAGGGTCCAGTCGTCTTGCAGGTAATTGCAATGGATACGCAAATACTGCTCGATGACCTGGTTGAGAACCTCGGTCGAACCGTCGGTCTCGGGGTGGAAGGCAGAAGAAAGGGAAATCTTCGTCTTCAGAAGCTCATTGAAGCGCCTCCAGAAGGCCGAAGTAAACTGAGTTCCTCGGTCCGAAACAATAGACCGGGGACAACCATGCAAGCGGAAGATGTGGGAGAGGAAGAGTTCGGCGGTTTGCTCGCCTGTAACCGTCTTCGTGGTGGGCACAAAGTGTGCTTGTTTGGACAGGCGGTCCTTAACCACGAAGATCGAGTCAAAACCGTTCGAAGGTGGGAGATCCGTGATGAAGTCCATCGACAGGTCCCACCAACGTTCGGAAGGAACGGGGAGAGGATGAAGTAAACCATAAGGGGAGTGACGGGACGGCTTGGCTCGCTGGCACGCTTCACAATTAGCAATGAAGCGACGCACAGACTTACGAAGCCGGGGCCAGTGAAAGTCCCGGGAGACGAGCTCAACGGTCTTGGCAAGACCAAAGTGACCAGCGGCAGCGGAGCAGTGACGTTGCTCAAACACTTTGAGCTGGAGCTCGGGGGAAGGGACAACGATCAGGTCTTTAAAGTAAAGGAGACCGTCACGGAAGGAGTAATCGCCATCAAGACGTTTGGCGTTAAAGTCAGAAAGGAGGGAACAAGAAAGGGTGGCAGCTCGAATCTCGGAAAGAAAGTCGGGATTCGAGCCGATAACAGTGATGCTGTCGAGAGAAATAGACTCGAACAGCTGAAGGAAGTTGGTGGAGTGGAGGGAGTCACCAGGCTTTATCTCAAAGTCAGAACGGCGACTGAGAGCATCGGCTTTGGTGTTGAGACGACCAGGGCGGTGGTAAATGCGAAAAGCAAAGTCAGAAAGGAATTGGGCCCACCGGAACTGGCGGCGAGAAAGTTGAGAAGCGGCAGTGAACCGGGTAAGGTTCTGATGATCAGAGAAAACAAGAGTGGGAATATCAGGGTCGGCAGCCATCAAGTAATGACGCCAGGCGGTAAAGGAATCGACAATGGCGAGGAGCTCTTTGTCGTGAGTGTCATAATTCACCTCGGCGGGACGGAATTGCCGAGAGTGAAAAGCAACGGGGTGAAGAGCGCCGTCAGGGTCAAACTGAGAAAGGACGGCACCCAAAGCAAAGTCAGAAGCATCGGGCTCGATGACAGCGGGTTTAGAGAAATCAAAGTATCGAAGAATAGGTGCGGAAGTGAAGGAAAGTTTAAGAGAATCAAAAGCCTCTTGGGCCTCGGGAGACCAAGAGAAGGTGGAGGATTTGGTAGTGAGGGAAGTCAAAGGACGAGCAAGTGCGGAAAAGTCCTTGACGAAGCGGCGGTAAAAGTTTGCGAAACCAATAAAGACTTGGATATCGCGAGCAGAAGAGGGAACAGGCCAAAGGGAAACGGCCTCGACCTTGGCAGGGTCCATTTTGATGCCATCGGCAGAAATGATCATGCCGAGAAAGTCAACTTCAGAAAGGTCAAAAGAACACTTGGCCGGATTGACCTTAAGGGAGTGTTCACGAAGGCGAGAGAGAACAAGCTTAACATGCTCCTCATGCTCCTGGGGATCTTTTGAGAAGATCAGGATGTCGTCAAGATAAATGACAACACAGACACCAAGGAGGTCCGAGAAGATGTCGTTCATAAAAAACTGAAAAGCAGCGGGGGCATTCGAAAGACCAAAGGGGATAACATTGTACTCAAATGAGCCAGATTTGCAAACAAAAGCAGTCTTCCACTCATCGCCCTTCTTGACACGAACCAAGTGGTAAGCATCAGGAAGGTCGAGGTGTGAGAAGACGCGGGCAGAAGAAAGTTTATCCAGAAGATCCTGGAAGAGGGGAAGTGGGTAACGGTTCTTCTTCGTGATGGCATTGAGGCCTCGGTAGTCGACGCAAAGGCGAAGACCACCATTGGGCTTCTTCACGAAGAAGCAGGGAGCACCAACGGGAGAAGAGGATTTGGAGATCCAACCACGTGCGAGGGC